ATGGTTAGTTATAAAAGATAAATCAAAATATACTATTTATTTTATTATTTTACTATAATATTTATTGTACATAAACATCTCCAATATAACTTATTAGGATATATAGACTAATAACAATTACTATTTGATATAAAATTTCAGTTATAACAAATATAGTTGTAATATATTCAATATTTTACAGTTTTAAAATTTAATTTTTTTACAATATATAAAATGTACGTTAACAACAACGTTGTATATATTTCTATATTTTTTATTATTGTAATAATAACGACACTAATAGTATGGATTTTTGTTATTTACATAAATAATGATAAATTGAATAAGCAGGATGAAATAAAGATAGATAATCCTGCGAAAGGTCTTGATGGAGATAAAGGTCCTGTAGGGGATACAGGTCTTTCGGGAGACAAAGGTCTTAAAGGCGATACGGGTCCTAAAGGTGATACCGGTCCTAAAGGCGATACGGGTCTTAAAGGTGATACGGGTCCTAAAGGTGATACGGGTCCTAAAGGTGATACGGGTCCTAAAGGGGATAGTCCTAAAGGATACTGGTCAGAAAGGTAATTCAGGTCCTAAAGGTGACACAGGTCATGAAGGAGATACAGGACCTAAGGGAGATACTGGTAAGAAAGGCGATACAGGACCAGAAGGAGATATAGGCCCTAAAGGAGATAAAGGTTCCAAAGGTGATACAGGTTCTAAAGGAGATAAAGATTCGGAAGGAGATATAGGTCCCAAGGGGGATATAGGTTCTAAGGGAGATAAAGATTCAGAAGGAGATATAGGTCCTAAAGGAGATATAGGCCCTAGTAATGAGTAGGCCCACAGTAATTTAGTTAATTATAAATAAAATTAGTGCCAGCAATTGCGGTTAAACTAATTATAAGAATGAACTTTATTTAATTTGATATAAGTTAGTAAGAATATATCAATTATTGTGATTATAGTTGAAATTTTTTAGTGAAATATAAATTGCAATTATAAATTATTATTATTTGATGAATTATATATATAAAAAATATATTAATCTTTGTAATAAATTAGGATTAGATATATACCCTATTATTAGAGAATAAAAAATTAATAGATTGAAGTATTAAATAAAAATCATTAAATTTATATAATTTGGCGGTATTTTTTTATTAGAGGAACTTGTTTATTAAATGATAATCCATGAGTAGATTTACCTAATTTAAATATTTTTATGTATTGTTGTTTAGAATTTATCATTATAGTGAGAATATTTTAAAATTTTAATTAAAGTGTAATTCAAATCAAAATGTAGAATAATTAGGATTAGATGAGTTACAGTTTAATTGTATTATTGGATCTTTTATATTAATATAATAGTGAAATTGGATTTAATAGTAAATTTATTTAAGTAAATAAATTGAAAAGTATATAAAAAAAATGTGTACAAATTGCCCGTCATTTTCATTTTGAAATGAAAAAAGTCGTAACATAGTAAATGTACTGGAAAGTGTATTTAGATGGTAAAAAATTTTAGTT